CTCCTTCCCTCTTTCCTTCTCCTCTCCTCCCCTCCGCTTCCCTCTCCCTCCCTCTTTCCTTCTCCTCTCCTCCCCTCTGCTTCCCTCTGCTTCCCTCTTCTCCTCTCCTCCCCTCTGCTTCCCTCTTTCCTTCTCCTTTCTTCCCCTCCGCTTCCCTCTTTCCTTCTCCTCTCCTCCCCTCCGCTTCCCTCTCCCTCCCTCTTTCCTTTTCCTCTCCTCCCCTCCGCTTCCCTCTCCTTCCCTCTTTCCTTCTCCTCTCCTCCCCTCCGCTTCCCTCTCTTTCCCTCTTTCCTTCTCCTCTCCTCCCCTCCCCTCCACTTCCCTCTCCCTCCCTCTTTCTCCTCTCCTCCCCTCCGCTTCCCTCTCCTTCCCTCTTTCCTTCTCCTCTCCTCCCCTTTGCTTCCCTCTCCTTCCCTCTTTCCTTCTCCTCTCCTCCCTTCCGTTTCCCTCTCTTTCCTTCTCTCCTCCCCTCCCCTTCCCTCTCCTTCCCTCTTTCCTTCTCCTCTCCTCCCCTCTGCTTCCCTCTCCTTCCCTCTTTCTAGCCAAGATTTGTAAACAAAGCACAATTTGTCTACCTGTGGAATCTTGTTAGGAAGCACAGTACAAGCCAGAGTTTGCTACAAACTGTGATTCGGTTAAACAAGGATCCTTCCATCACACTTGGAGGATGATAGCAGAAGATTAAGGAAAGTTACCCCTGAATGCAATTAATACAGTTTGGAAATAATGTGGAAGAACTGACACGAATGGTGTTATTTGAGGAAGGGAGTAGACTAGCTTTGCCAAATCTTTACCATTCCGGATTAGTGTGGGATTTAGTGTCTGGGCCTAGGATCCTGAAATAGGCTTAACTTTGTGGAAGGGAAAAGTGGGATAATTCCAGGCATCCACACCAGAGGTGGGATTCAGCTGGTTCTGACCAGTTCTACAGAACTGGTAGCGGAAATTTTGAGTAGTTTGGAGAACCGGCCAATCCCACCTCTGACTGGCCCCGCCAACCCCATCTATTCTCCACCTCCGGAGTCCCAGTCGATTGGCTGGGTCTCCTTTCGTTGCCCTGCACAGGAGAAGGGAGCTGGAAAGCAGGTTAGTGGGATGGAGAGGGAATGGGGTTTTTGTAGTAACCTTCCCCTGTCACGCCCACCGAGCCACGCCCACAGAACCGGTAGTAAAAAAAAAATTGAATCCACCACTGGTCCACACCCTTAATAACCCACTTACGATACTCAGGGGAAGAAACCAATTTAAAAGCTTGAGCTTGCCTACTGATATAAGGTGACATATTCATTTAGCATCGACATTCCTCCTCACAATGTGATTGCATTCTGTTTTGCCTACTCGTTCATCGTGGGCCTTTTTTTTTTTTTTTTTCCTTACGCCAGACAAAACGGCGACATCAAGTTTTTGACCAAAGGCGACAACAATGCAGTTGATGATCGAGGCTTGTACAAACAAGGACAACACTGGCTGGAGAAGAAAGACGTGGTTGGAAGAACAAGAGGGTGAGTGAGGCGCCAGCCAGCTGGTGGGCATTGTCATAACCTCAGCATAACCTCTCCCTTGCGGAGTTCCGTTCTGTCCCCTGCAGTTGGTTGGTATCTTCCTGTTTCCCCAAAGGTGCTTTTTTCAAAAGGCAACTGAATTTTCTTGGGGGGGGGGGGGATTTCCTTGAAAAACATTTCACTTCTCACCCAAGAAGCTTCTGTTCAGCCTTTTGCAGCATAAAATCAGCACCAGAAAAGTAAACACAGATGGCTGAGGCTTCATTTAAACTTCTTTATAAACACATGAAGTAAATTTTACAATACCAGTTGTAGATTTCACCAACATGGAGCAAACTCAAACAGAGGTAGACATATTACAGGTTCAGAGTTTCAGCACCAACCCAGGAGCTCAGAAACAGACATCAGTTTCACTTTAGTTCAGCAGGCAAGCATTATACATAGCAGAGGAGAAGCAGTTTCATTTCCAATAGACAGACTCTGAGCTTAACATAGCTGCAGAGCTTAATATAGAGCCACGCCTAAGCTACTTTTAGTTTCAGTTTCCAAACAGTCCTCATTGGCTGACTTAGTTGCTAGGCCTATTCATTGGCTGACCTTGTTACCATGCTCTGTTCCAGTTCATGAATATACTCTTGACAGCTTCTTCACTTCTGACTGAATGGTGGGGAATGGACGGATTTATATTTGGAGTCATGTGGTCATTAAGCACCCTGAAAATTGATTTTCAGGGGGGAAAAAACAACCCCAAGAATGTCCAGTTGCCTTTTGAAAAGCACCGTTGGGATAACCATGACCTGGTGTGTCTTTATTTCTGCCCATTTCCAAGATTTTTTTTTGGAACGTTGACTTTACCTGTCTGTCTTCCTCATGAAGTCTCTCTTCCTTTTTCATCTGGGTTGTGGATAAATTAGGCCCTCTGGTTTGGGGCTCCCCTGCTTCCGTATAATGCCTTGTTTCTGAGTTTCATGAAAACCCTTTTTAAAACCTGCATGTGAGGAAGGAGGCATCCCACTGTCTTATCAAAATTCTTATGTCTGTTGCTTCTTTGTTTCTCTCTATCAATACACCTAGGAAGTACTGGATATCCCAAAGATGCTTTTTCAAGACTTTCTTTCTTTTTCTTTACTTTTTTTCTTTTAAACAAAACTTTATTAAGTAAATTATTAAAAAGATTCAACGTGGTGTAATCATCACGACAATCCTTGTTGTCACACATTATGACATAAAATACATTCTTTAAATACATTTATACAGCTATATATTTCTATGATATTTCCCAGTTTTAGTCATCCATTTTGCCGTCCCTATTCTCTCTTGATTTTAGATCCTTCCTTTTTTTCCCCACCATTGATAAAATTCATTCCATATTTTATAGTGTTCTATCTCGTCCTTATCTTTCATTTCCCAAGTTAATTTGTCCCTCTCGGCGCATGACCATCTCTTTTTTTTATTATGTCATTTTCATCGGGAATTGCTTTGTTTTTCCACATTTGGTTTCCACAGCTGGTCATTTGCATCCATCTAGAGGGTCCTTGAAGGTTTGTCTGTGTCCTCAGGGTTATCGGCAAATGACCAGCTGTCCGCAGGGAATATAAATCCTTCCATTCCCCACCATCCTGGCAGAGTTGAATAAGCTTCTTGGATGAGAAGCGAAACATCTTCAAAAGAAAAAAAACTAGAAAGCCCAGTTGCCTCCTGATACAGCATCTTTGGGACAACCATGACCTGGATGACTGAGAATCTCTATGGACTTCTTATTATATCAGCCAGTATACTTCCTAAAGTGGATGGCTTTATTTTTCTGTTTCAGGTTTGTGCCCTACATCGGAATAGTAACCATCCTAATGAATGATTACCCTAAATTCAAGGTAGGACGTTCGGTTCATTTGCTGTCTCGTGGCAACGCGCTGCATCGGCAAAAAAAAAGCACCATTCAGACAATGCATGGGGGCGGGTGGGTTCAGGGTCTCTCTCTCTCATCGAACTCCAGCTGAAACATCCCAAACCACATTCAAGCAGGCAGTTGACTCTCAATGATGGTTTGGTGAAAATGACCCCTGTTTCTGGCTGTTTTAGGTCTTGGAATTGGGTTTGGTTTGGGAGAGAGATTGTGGGTTGAGAAAGGCCAGAGAACTTTAAAAAATAAAATAAAGCACACTGCTCTGACCGAAGCCTTGTTCAAATCAAACAAACACAAAAGTATAATACAACCCTTTTTAATGCGGCGCTGTGAATTCTGTGCATTCACAGCCAAGAATCATTCAAAACTAATTGTCCCAGAAAAGAGCAAGCCCTTTCAAGGTTGCGAAAGGCTGCCGAGAACAAAAGACTAACTGTAGATAAATATCCAAAGCCGGAAGTTTGAAAAAACAAACCGGAGCAAGCAGGGCTTCCATGAGGACTCTGAGTAGAAAGAACAACTTTGCTTCCTGCAAAGAAGCCAACCCCAAAGGCTGGCTTTTATCCCTTATGGGAAGGGGCCATTACCTTCCAGCCTTACTCCAGAGTCGCCCGTGCTGCTTCAGCTGCTCTTTCCCTCGAGTAGTCCTGTACGCACGCACACACACCGAGTACAGGCTCCCCGGGGTCCTCTTTGTCACTGCTGACTCCACAACCTCCAAAGGCAACACCCCACTCTCCAATAGTCCTGGCCCCCATCCCTGCATCACACGCAGGCCCATCATCCAAGTCCTCGGTCTTAGAGACCTCAGCCATCTGAACCACAACACACACTGAACTTCAAAGTAAAATAGACAAGGCACACCAAATCCCTGTAACGTGTTTTTTTTTTTTTTGAAGTTTAAACTTTTCAAGGAAGGATGCATGTTTCAACCACCAGCCTTGTCTTGTTTGAAGTTTGCTTTTGCTAATTTGAGCCCGTCCAGCCGACGAATCCTCCTTCGGTTTCCCTTTGCATTTTTCATCTGAGCATAACCATGCGTTCAAGTTCGCAAATCAGTCGTGCGCTAGCAATGGGCCGCACCCCCATTCCCGTGGGCTTATTCTTGAAATCTTGATGAAAAGATTAAAAGGAAGCCTGCTGCAGGATGTGAACCCACCCACCGAAGTGGCAAACCACAGGCCTTAAGATTGTGCCACTTAGGGTGTTTTTATGATTTGGCTTTCATGCCTAAAGTGGGATTAGAATCGCTGTTGAAATCCCCGCGTCGCATTTTGAAACCCTTTGGGGGAAACGCTCCACCAATATTTTCTGTCTTGCTCTTTTCTCCCCACCAGTACACTGTCCTTTTCCTCTTGGGCTTGTTCGTCCTGGTCCATCGAGAGTAGCCCATCAGCAGCAGAGGCGAGGACCAACTCCTCCAAGTAGGCTGGGATGTTGAAGTCCATTTTGCTGCTTCATGATCCGGATTTGGGCGGGTTTTTTTGTTTTGTTTCGTTTCGTTTTCTACGACTGCTGTGTCACGGGCAGGTTGATCTCAGTATTTTGAAAGAGTTTGTCACACTTTAGCATTTTTTGTACCTCGGTGAATTTTTATATTAAAAAAAAAAAAAAAATTTTAAAGCCAAACCCTTTTTTTTTTTTTTTGCCTTTTTTCTAAGCTTACCAGTTTTTTTCTTCCACTGATTCCGTTGAAAAGTATGAAAACCTTGTTTCTGGTGAATAGCTGGAGATGCCCGTCTGCTTCCAGATAAGAATAAAGTCATCTTTAGGACCAGCAAATCGCAACTATCAATCCCGGTTTTAAAAAATCACAAGGGGGTGTGGTGCCACTCCACTTCTGAGCTGAGAGGCCGGGGACCTAACGCTGGGGTTTTGCACAGTCAAAAATTTTGGCTTTTTAATTGTTAGTGTGAACATGCTTGAAGAAGAGCCTTGGTGGCGCAATGGTTAGAATGCAGTATTGCAGGCTAGCTCACTGCACACTGCCATCAGTTCGATCCTGACCAGCTCAAGGTTGACTCAGCCTTCCATCCTTTCCGAAGTCGGTAAAATGAGGACCCAGATTATTGAGGGCAAGAGGCTGACTTTTGTAAACCACTGTAAAGCCCTGTGAAGCGGTATGTAAGTAAGCGCTATTGCTATGCTGGTGTTCTGACCCAAAACCCTTTTCCAATAAGACAAACACGAACCAAAGGGAATAGAAACCTTTTCGTGATTCTTAGGAATCTCCCGGTTAAAAGGCTGCTGAAAACTAATTAACTTTGAGAAGCACAAGCCTCGCCAAAACTGAGGAACAAAATACCTGTCTCAGAGGCACGGCATGTCCCTTCTGGCAGCAGGTGTGGGGCAAGAGTCAATCCCTTTGGGAGGAGAAAGATGGTTCAAGATTCAAGCACCGTAGCTGTTCCCGCTGCATTTTAGCTCTGGGTGGTTATGCAACCTGCGATGCCGTGTTTTTCTTCAGCCACCTCCGCTTTTTAGCAAAGCTGCGGTAAAACACAGCCCCGTGGGTGGCTTAATTTTATCCGGTTGTGACTGCCATTGAGGAGGCTGTCAAAACTTCCCTCCAGTCGCTGCTGACTCAAAGAAAGGGCCGTTTCTTGCACAAGAGGCATAACTGGGTCAGGCCGGGAAGTTAGCAGTTGGTGGAACCCTGGCTAATTGATTCTGCCACCCAACCAGGGATCTTCTCTTTGGGATTGGTTGAATAAATATCCACCATCACTGTCGTGCCCCTGTTCAGAGTCTGAATCCAAGGAGGAGGATGAACAGCTGACAGGGAATGGGAGTGTGGCTCCGTTGGCTGTGGAGGAGGCTGGGGAAGGGCAAAATCTGGCTGGGCAGAGCAGGGAAGAGGTAGAACAAGGGAGAGGGAGTTCAGAGGAAGAACCAGGCCCACTTCCTCTTCATCCTAGGGCACTCAGGGAGGAACGGAGAAGGGAGCAACATGGGTTGCATGGCTTACGGAAGAGGAAAGGGCCCTGATTCCCTTCATTAGCCACACCTGGGAATGAAAGTTTAAAAGAACTGAATGCTGACTGCTGCAGCTGCTGGGAGCAAACGTGACTTTATCCTGTGTTGTCATTGCTTATCTGTGTTCCTGGTGTCTTCCCAACCATGTTGAGTTATTGCTGTGCCTTCACGTCTGGAATTCTTGCTCCTGCCCTGCCAAACTAATTACCTCAGTTTGGTTTGATCGGACTTAAAGTTACAGTTTGGGTTGACCATGTTTTGGACTTGATTCTCTGCAGCCAAAGGCTGTTCCTGGGAGAGTTTTTCTCCAGCCAGAAGATAACTTGGACACTGGGGACAAAGTTGGAGCTAATAAAGGGACTCCTACTGATTATCTGACTGTGTTGCCTTTGTGCCCCGCCACGGATCATCACAATCACCTGGAAGATACCTGCCCCCTCCAATCCTCCCAGCTGACCTAAAGACAAATCAAGGAGCCGTGCTCTCTCTCTCAACACTGATTTTATTCTTGTAACCACCTTGTGGAGGCAGCTGGTTAGTTAAGAGGACAAAGGCCGAATTGTGGTCCACGTTAACATTTATTCAGCCTTTCCCTCTTCTAAATCCCAGAGGTGCTACCTTTCTTTTGTGTCTCTTTTTTTTTCACTCCCTTGGTTTGAATGCAGATGTTGCTAATCAACACTTTTGCAGCATTCAGTGGAAAAGCTGTTATCCTTTTTTTATGCAGAAGGGACAGCTAATTGCTGTGAAGAGAGGTGTCGGCCCCTCAAAAACAGATGACTACTAATTCTCTTCTTTTTTAAAAAAACAAACAAACAAAACTTGCATTAAAACACACCTCTCCCCACCCCACACCTCTCCCCACCCATTTCGCTTCTAAGATGTAGGATTTCAGAAAGAACAAAACGGGATATTTTCTGCCCACTGCAGGGAAGTCGTCTGGGCAGATACACAAGGAGTCCTGGACTTAGGACCACAATTGAGCCAAACATTTTATGTCGTTAAGTGAGTTTTGCCCTGTTTTATGACCTATCTTGCCACAGCTGTTAAGTGAATCACCGCAGTTGATAAGTTAGGAACACGGTTGTTAAGTGAACCTTGGCTTCCCCCTTGATTTGGCTTGTCAGGAGGTCACAAAAGGGGACCATGTGACCTTGGGATGCTGTGACCATCGTAAGTGAACCAGTTGCCAATCGGCCGAATTTTGATCATGTAACCAGGGGGATGCTACAAAGATCGTAAGTGTGGGGAAACGGTCATAAGTCCCCTTTTTTCAGTGCTGTTGTAACTTTGAACGCTCACTAAATGAAGTGTTGGAAATCAAGGACCACTATACTATTTTGTTGCATCCTTCAGCCTCCCAAATGTTTAGATAGATGATGTGCCATAATCCAGGACTGGAAGTCTGGATTTGCTTTAATGTCAGAATTCCAGCAGTTACCCCAATTAATTAGAATTCTTGATTGGCCAAGTGTGATTGGACACACAAGGAATTTGTCTTGGTGCAAATGCTCTCAGTGTACATAAAAGAAAAGATGCATTTATCAAGAATCATAAGGTACAACACTTAATGATAGTCAGAGGGTACAATAAGAATAGAATTAGAATAGAATAGAATTCTTTTATTGGCTAAGTGTGATTGGACACACAAGGAATTTGTCTTGGAGCAAATGCTCTCAGTGTACATCAAAGAAGATACATTCATCAAGAGTCAAGAATCATCAGGTACAACACTTAATGATAGTCATAGGGTACAATAAGAATAGAAATAGAATAAGAATAGAATAGAATAGAATAGGTTTATTGGCCAAGTGTGATTAGACACACAAGGAATTTGTCTTGGTGCAGATGCTCTCGGTGTACATAAGAGAAGAGATACATTCATCAAGAGTCACAATCATCAGGCACAACACTTAATAATAGTCATAGGGTGCAATAAGCAATCGAATCATACTAGGAAACAGTCCATATAAATTATGAGTCTCAAGCCAAACTTCCAAAACCTAAAAAGGATTTATTGGGAGTTAACATGTCCGGCACTGCCTGGGTGCAACCGACTCTGAGACACATCATTCACTGTCACCCTTGACCCTGGTTTTCCTCCACCCCCTGGGTGGATCACAATTCATATTCTCCAATGGGACACATCCATAGCCAAGAGTCACCAATCACCTCCAGTTAGAATTTTGCGCAGCAGCAACTTCAGTCACCTAGTTAACTATCTTTGAAAAACTATTTATGGAATGCACTTTCGCTTTCCAAGCTGCCACACTGCTCCCCCTCCCTTTCTGTTGGCAACTCTAAAAAGACCATAGAAATATTTCATGAGTTGAGATTTAGCTGCCCAAACTGGGGTCCCTTGATCTCGCTCCCCACACCTCCTTCCTCTAATCCTCGGGTGGACGGGTGGACTTGGGTCTCTTTGATGCTAGCTAAGCCACTTCCGACAGTTAAACCTCTCCACAAACACACACACACACACACACACACACACACACACACACACACAAATCCTGCAGGAATTTAATCCTCTTTTGCATCCTGCAAGCCCACGCACAGCCTAATCCCGAATTTGAACGGTCCGTGGCTTCCGGAACCCCGTTTGAAGAACGGAGAATGTCCTCTTGCATCTTTTAAGAGCATTGTGCAATTTGGCAGCTTTTTACAAATTCAGAGTGAAGTAGTGCGTTCTCGAAGATAAGCGTGCTGTGACTTTATCTGCTGCAAGGGAAGAGGTTTCAGGAATAGGAAAGAAAGTCAGAAACGATCAAGAGGATGACAACGGGAGTTTCTGACCGGAAGAATCCATGATTCAGGACTTCTTTTGCAAGTTGGAATGGAGTAATTCGGTTGCTGCAAAACAACGGCATCTTTGAAGGGACATCACAGAATCGTAGGGCCAGATGTGACCTTAAGAGATAATCTAATCCCACCCCTCCTGCTCCAGGCAGGAGATTTATACCATCCCAGTTGTCCAGTCTATTTTTGAAAAGCTCCAGTGATGGAGCACCCTCCAAAATGGTGTTTTTTTGTGGTGAGGAGTTACTGATGGCCCCTGGCAAGAATTATATCTCCCTTGATTTGACTTCAGCTAGGTGGACCCACCAAGATTTTCTGTCTGGCTACAGACTATAAAAGGAGAGATGGGAGTAGCTTTCCCTGGGCTAACATCTCGACATTTTTACAAGAGAGTCAAATTTTGGAGAGTGATGGTGAAATATTGTTTTAGACATCCCTTCCCTTCCTTTCTCTCTCCTTTCTTCCTATCATCTTCCCTCCTTCTCTGCCTTTATCTTTCCGTACCTTTATCTCTCTTTCCTCCCTCCTTCCATCCCTTCCCTTCCTTTTTCTCTCCTCCCTCCTTCCTTCCCTCCCTTTCTCTCTCCTATCTTCTTCCTTCCTTCTCTTCCTTTCTCCTTCCCTTCCTTTTTCTCTCCTTCTTCCCATCTTTCCTTTCCTTCCTTTCTCTCTCCTTTCTCCATTCTTCCCTCCTTCCCTTCCTATCTCTTTCCTACCTCCCTACCTCCTTCCCTTCCTTTCCCTCTCCTTTCTTCTTCCCTCCTTCCCTTCCTTTCTCTCTCCTCCCTCCCTCCCTTCTATCCTACTTTCCTTCCTTCCTTTTCTCTCTCTTTCCTCCTTCCCTTCCTGTCTCT